GAATCCCACCAACACTCACAACATCTTCACCAAGACAGCCTAAAGGTGAGGGCCTAGGTAAATCATTCTTGTATTCCTGATATATGGAACTTAGGTATCAAACCTCTACATGGGGATATTTGTTACACAGCAATAGATAGCTGATATACCACAAAAGAGCTCCATTTTCCACCCTAGGATTTTCCATCAGTGGGAATTTCTAGGGCACAAATAGACTCATGCTGGATCAATATCTTATCCTATTGCTCATGTGTAGCTGCTTGATTAAAAGTTTTTCTTTTAAATCACTTTTCAAAAGGAAAAATATTTTATATTTCTGTATCAGTTTTACAGATTTACACTTATTTTATGTATTGCTTTGATTTCACTTTTATTTGCCCCTCTGTTCTACTTTTTTAGATAGCTAAGAGATTGCTATTTTTGCGCATCACACAACCATATTACACTGCTCTGTATTTTTTCATGTATTTAGACTCACTCTTAATTTAGATTTCCTATATGCATGCTATGTTCTAATATTGTATGCACTTTTAATTCTTCACCACTTTGGGGTGTATATTTTTAGGTCTCTTAAAATACCACTGATGTTCAGGCACTGTAGCTGTTTTATCACCCATATTTTGGATCCCCAAGTATGCTTTCTCAGTAGCTTTAAAAAGCCTCACACTAGATTTACTGCTGTTCTTGGCCTGAGGAAATTATGATCATTTTTAAAGCCCTGAACTTATTACCAGACATTTGGTAGCAAGGGGAAATTGGTTGCAGTTTTTGGAGGTTCTAACTCAAGATGAACTTCATTTCTTCCAAGGTTCTTCTTTATCATCCTTGGATGAGATGAAATTTATGTGCAAATGTGCTTACAGATAAATAAGGACTGACAGAAAAATGAATAGTGACAGAACACACCAAGAAGTTAATAACAAGAGGGAAACATAAAATCTTTTCTAGGCAATCATATTTGAAGGCCAGCCAAGGTCATTGTTAACTAACTGTGGATTTTTCCATCTGTTGTCAAGGGAAATAGTTTGCATTCTACTCTCGTATTCTAGCCTGTTCAAGTGATCTGCCATCCAATTTATGCTTTGTAAGCTTCAGAAACGTTTCAGGAGAGCTGCTCTGATATGGCTCTGAGATAGGATACACTTTTGGAAAATCAAATTTAATTTGATTAAATTAAATTTCCTTAATCAAATTTGAGAAAGCATAATTTGAAAGATGATTGCATTAATTTATTTTTCATAACTAATATTTTCAAGGGCTGTAGGGCTCTTAACAGCCATTGATCAATGCCAGCCATTTAAAGCCAGTTTACATTCAGATAGCTTAAATAATAAGTAAATATGTATTGATGACACACACACACATGAAAGAGATTAAGAGCAGCCTATTGTTAAGAATTTACTTGGTATTTTACAGATCTTCAAACATGCATGTGTGCGTGTGTACGTGCTCGCGTGTGCGCGCACGCACACACACACACACACACACACACATGGACACGGACACTCAGTACTTACTTTTCTCTCAGAAGAATGACTACAGGACTGAGACCACATCTCCTAATTCATCAGTTCAAATGTTGTATTCTTAGTGACCTTAAGTAAAGATTTTATGCATTGTATGGGGGAATCCATTCAGGAAAGACAAAGTGGAATTTCTTTAGGGTTCAGAAAATACCATACCAACTATTCAGTGTGAGGCTTTATGCTCTTTTCTCCCCGAACTGTTTCCTTTAATGCATATGTCACTTCACATTTAAAAGACAGGAAAAAAATTTCCAGTTATCCCTTACACTCAGCGTTTCCTTTGCAAAGATAAAGATACTGATTCATGGTCCATACTTGGCTACCCAGGAAACCTTTGTAACACCGACCAGAATTCACAAGACAGCTCACATTCAACATGTACAACCACCACACATAGTCTCCTGAGGAGCATCTCCAGGAGGTGATAAAAAGGAAATACAGAATTTGCTAAACCACTAGGTGTGTTGAATTTTCTGCTTAGACTTCAGTGCATGGACATCACTTGGCCACTTCTGGGAACATGGTTCTTGGGACACATGGGACTCTGTAAGACCCAGATTTTCACAGCAGAAGGAACGTGGTCATCCTTCCCATCATCCCAATCAGCCAATAAAAACCTGCAGAACTGTCCTGGTTAAACTGTACCGGCTTTTATTGTTAAGAGTTGAAAGTCCTGTTCTACTTGCAAAAATGTTGCATGACACAGACTCAGGAACTATCCAGAGATACTGAGCACATTGTTTAGATCAACCTCTCCTTCTCTGTTCTTATTCTTAAACTTCCATGATGCCCTCTCCTAAATGAGAGGAACACATCTCAAAAACTCTTCATTTCTTCACCCCTGATATGTGCTAGGCAGGGTAGCAGGATTCACTGTGAAATAAACACAGCGGAAAAGGACAAGGAGACAGAGGTGAAGGTCATGAATAACATCATAGGAATGGAGCACAAGTGTGAACTTTTCCCCATGTACTTGTTTTTTTTTGTTTGTTTGTTTGTTTGTTTGTTTTTGGTTTTTCTCCGGTACAAGGAACCGAACTCATGATCTTGTGCTTGCCAGGCAGGTGCTTTGCCGATGAACTAAATCCTCAGCTCCCACCCCATGTACTTGTAACTGAACTAAAGACTTGGGCACACTGCCCTGTTTAATGCTCAGAACTTCCCGGATGACCCATTGGACCCCAGCACACTCAGTAGGCTGCTTGGCCTATCAGAGCTGACCAGGGAATTGTTTGTAAAAGTAGATGATGGGGCAAGCAAATTCCTGACCCTGGCTTGTATTCCCTAAATTCTGGGACCAATGCAAAACACTTACTAACAAAGACAAGTTTAGATTCAGCATGAATTCACTTAGGAATATTGTACTGCAGGATCATACCTGTATACTACAATTCTAAAAGTGGGTATGAACATTAATATGTACATTAAGCACCTAAGAAGTTCTAGGAATAATTTCTATAAAGTATATTAGCTTGTAACCAAAATCTAAAACTGTGCATCTGTTTATTGCACTACTGGATGAAGTTCTATAGTGGAGAGAAAAAAGAAAGAAAGAAAAAAGAAAGAAAGAAAGAAAGAAAGAAAGAAAGAAAGAAAGAAACAAACAAAGAAAGAAAGAAAGAAAGAAACAAACAAACAAACAAAGAAACAAACAAAGAAAGAAAGAAAGGAAAGAAAGGAAAGAAAGAAGAGAAGAGAAGAGAAGAGAAGAGAAGAGAAGAGAAGAGAAGAGCCTTGATGACTCATTACTTTAAAGAAAGAGCCAGCCAAGAACAGCCCCAGAGTCTGCCAAACTCAGTAGGACGTCCATATAACAAACAGCACTGAGGATGAGAATGTCATTTTACAAGAAATGAGAAAGAACCTGAAATAAAAATAAAAATTCCCACTAATTGTGATAAGAGACAACTATTCATCGGAGCCTAAACCCCAGAAGGTATGTGGGGCCCTGTTATGGTTTGTGTTAGATGTCCCCCAAAACCTCATGCGATTATAGGTGGGGCTTTTCAGAGATGGCTAGTTCTGGAGTGTGTGATGCTGGGGTCAAGGGTGTGTGATTGCTAAATTATCTACTGATTGGTTTGGCATAGTTCTGGGTAGGATTAAGAGTGCCCCATGCCAGGTGTGAGGGCATCTTGGTTACTTTTCTGTCCTTGCTGAGACAAAATACCTGATGCCCAGAATTAAGGAAGAAAAGGTTTATTTAGCTCACAGTTTGTGGAGGTTTCAGTCCATACTTGGCTGGCTCCCAAGCAGGGTGGCACATGGCAGAGAGCAACAGTTCATGGAGGCAGAAGACAGCAAACCAACAAGAGCAAAAGGGAGGAGCGGCAGAAAGCAGCCTCTTTCCCTCCCTTATATTGTATGCAAACTACCCACCCCAGGGCGAGTGCAGCACTCATATCCATAATCCCAATATTGGACTGTGGATCAATCAAAAACTCTAGAAGCCCACCCCATGACTGCATGAGGCTTTGGGGGGGACATCCAGACACATACCATGACAAAGGGCTATCCACCCTAAGGTTGGGTAGGCTGGATAAGATGTAAGGGACAGAAAGAGAGTCCTTGCTTGTTTGTTGCTTGTTGTTCGTTGTTTATAGCTTGCTGCCTCCTGTCTTCTGCCTGCCATGAACTGTTTCTCTTCTGCAATGCCCCTCTGCATAGTTGCTCTGCCTTGGAGGCAGCTGGTTATGGAGGGAAGCCTCTACAAACTGTGAGCTAAATAAATCTTTCCTCCTTTAACTTTGAGTGTTGGGTATTTTGCCTCAGCAAGAAGAAAAATTATTAAGACAGACCCAGTCACTGAAAGGATGTAAGGCAGAGCAACAACAGGATTTACAAACAAACAGATTCAGAAAGAACCAAAGTAGAGCAACTTCCTCTGTCATGAGAATTCCTAAGCACAAACTTCCATTTAAGTAGAAATTTATGTTCGTTAGCTGAAAGGTCTCTTTGGCACTAAATTGGCACTATGCTTGCATTGCCCGAGCAAACTCTAAGAGGAAACTGGTCTTTATTTATTTATGTCCATCTCTCTTCCCAAGGGATATGAAAGACAAGATGGAAGCCATCAAGGAGAAAGTCACATTTTTCCATTGTTATCCTCATCTATGGGACAGCCATTGCCAGGGCCACTAAAATAGCTACAGAATCACTTAGCAAAGCTAAAGAGAACTTTAGTGATATGGTTGACCAAGCTCAAACAGAGTAAGCAAAGCATAGCAAGGTGAACAGAATGCATCCATATCCTAACTTGGGCAGTGGGGAGATGGGCTGGGGACTATCCCCAGAGCCCAGTTATGAACATGAAGCAATCCCAGAGCAGTTGTCCATGCAACTTGTGTTTAAATCCTATGCAGTGGTGTCTTCATGCCAGGGAGATGACAGGAAGCCAGACCTTGCATCTGTGCAAGGTGACTAATTTAGCTCTGGCCTCCTAGGGAAAGGCATAAGCCTAAACACGCTACTCACCTGTAACATAAAGATGGGAAGAACTCCTCGCTGATGGCTCATGGACAAGTAGCTTTGCCAGCTGCTCACGGCCTGGGTCATATAAGTAAAAACAATGAGGCTTCATAGGACACAGAAAGCCTAGGCTTTGCATAGTGTTGAGGATACAAGCTCCAGCTTTATCCACTCCTTAGTTTACAATCTGAAGCCAAGAAATTAAAAGGAAATCTCAATAGGGATTGATAAGATCAAGCATAAAGTTCCTCTGAAATCCATTTTTACAGCCCAGAAAGGGCACATAGGACTGCCATTAAATTACTTTTAAAAAGAAAACATTTGAAGGTGAGGTAAAATAAAAAGAAGGCAAGCATGAAAGGAACTAAGAAAAATGCTATGAGCAGGAGCAGGAGCAGCCAGGGGACTGAAAGTAATCACCACGTAAAAGGATAATTAAGTACGTTTATAAAAATAAAGAGAGCAAAGAAAGAAATAAGACTTAATGACATGGTATTCTTTATTTTAAGAAAATAACAATTTAGAGAAACATTATACGGAATTCTAGAAATTCACTCTCACACATGCACATGCATATTTTTATGCCTGAATAAAAAATGCCATTGGGGAATGCCAATCTCCAATAATAGAGGGCAAATTAAACCTTTCATGAGAAAGACCAAGAGAAGTAGGTGGTTTATGGTACGGAAAATCAGCGGGAAACACTACCTCGCACACAAGCCAGTGGGGACCGCTGAGGCTGGAAAGTTGGTGTTAGAAGCCAAAGGTGCTTGTACCTTCTCATCACTGTGACCTCTTGCTCTGCAGCCCTGAAAAGCAGTGTGAGAATAACAGAAGACCTCACACTGGCTACTGATCCTCCAAGAGACTATACCCTTGAGATGAGAGTACAGAACAAATACATCAGCTCCACTTTCTCCTCCCTGGCCAAGGACTTTGATCTGAGCAGGAAGAAAAATGGAAAGAAAGCAAAATGGAAAGGCATTATAGGGATTTCCAGGCCACTAGTCAGCCCTAACTAACTTAGGAAAAAATGAAAGGATATCTACCACGACCTGTTCCATTTACCATAATCCTGGGAATTTTAAAGAGTCAGCTAGGCTGCACAGACACGATTCCCCATAGGTCTGTCTCAAACATCTGCACATCTTCCCAGCGCAAGTACTGATGTTTTTTGTTCCTGACAGTCTTTTCCAGGGTGGTGGAACCTCGAACAACCCTGGAAGATAGAAATGGTGTTTCCCTCTGAAGCACAGGTTGGGCAGGTTGGCTTTCTGCCCATTATGAAGCTCAGGGGGTCTCCTCGTTTGAGAGCTCCCAGCTATGATTCAGACCCCTTGCATGTGTGAGGCACGCATGTACCCTCCTATGGCATAACCAGGGAATCTGAGAGGCAAAGAAAACTGGTACGAACATGTAACCACCCTCTGTTCCCTGTGCTATGAGAAACAGTCTGTTGTTTCTGGTCGGGAGACTCGTGTCTTTTCAATGTTCATGGAACCATGGCTGGCTAAAGAGAGCAAAGAAAGGAGAGCATAAAAGGAAGGTAAAGTCTTCCTTTTATGAGAGCAAAGTAAAGTAAAGAGAGCAAAGAAAGAGAGTATAAAAGGAAGGTAAAATCTCAGACCCTCCTCAGTTCATGACAAGTGAATCAACAACGCTTCAGAATAGCTGCACATTAGGCTGCTTGCTCTGTGACAAAATAAATAAGTTAAAATGACAGGTAACTACATGGATAAATCCCAGTAATATTTTAGGTGAATATAAGCAAACCACAAAAGGATGCATCCGCTTGTGCATAACATAGTTGTCGTTTGGGAGTCCAGAAGACACAAATATAACTGGTGCATAATCTTCTCAGTAATGCGGCTCTCAGGAAAAGTAAGGAGAGCTGAACCAGAATGTGTGTTAACTAATGCAAATAGGTCAGAACATTAACATTTGTGAATTCTATCAGCTGGGTATGTAGATGTGCTATTCAGATCCACAGTCCTTACCTACGATTCTAAACAGTTTGTTCTTAATTTTCTTTCAAAGTATATGGAAGAAAAAAATCTAAAATGAAATGCAGAGTGCTATCATTCATCCTTATTTGTCATACTTATTGTGACCATCCGTTATGGTTTCCATCTAGATGTTCCCCCCAATGCTCCACGAGCTCACAGGTGATGCTTTGGGGAGGGGATTGGACCATAAAGGCGTGACATGCATCAGGGGATTAGTCTACTAATGAGTTTGGCTAAATGTGATGCTGGGGGTCAAGCCTGGTCTGAGAAGGTGGGTCTCTGGGTGTGAGTCCTGGAAGGGTCCGTCTCTCCCTCCTCCCTCGATCTCTCAACCTCTCCCCTCCCCACATCCTTTCTGCTGCCATTGCCATGAGCTGGTTCCCTCCTGTGATGCTCCTCTGTCACGCCACCCTGCCTTACAGCCAGGTGCCTATGGACTGAACCTTGACAAACTGTGAGTCAAAATAAACCTTTCCTCCTTTAAGTTTTGGTGTCAGGTATTGTGTGTTGAGAATGAGAAAGTAACTAAGACACTATCTATATATTTATCAGTGGAATAAGAATGTGTGTGGTAAGCCAGGTGTGGTGGCACATGCCTGTAATCCCAGCAGTTGGGAGGCTGAGGTGGGAGGATCCTTGGGAGTTCGAGGCCAGCCTGGGCTACAAAGTGAGCTCAAAGCCAGCCTGAGCTGCACGGTGAGACCCTGTCCCAAGAAGACAAAAGAAAAAAAATTGTGTGTGGTTATGCTAACCTGAGCCCTGCTGGTGGCTGGGCTGTTCAGTAGATTAAGCCCACACTTCACCTTTCTAAACTCTTGAACTCTAAAACCCCTTGCCCTGTACAGTTTTGGAGAAGGATGTATATAGTCTTAACAAGTTTCCTTGGGACAGGTTTCCTTGTGCTTTCCCATCACACTCATGTTAGGAGCAGCTTGGATGCTGCCCTCCAGGACTTCTATGAGGAAGTCCTGTCCTGGATGGCCTGGGAGTTAGCTCACTGCCCATACAGTGCAGCCCAGAGATGCAGAGAAGTGGCTGCCCCTGAGGGCAAAGGTTTGACCAGGGGTATCAGAGCTGTAGGATGAATGCTTTCTTCCCTCTTTCTCATCCTGGCTGGATGGTCCTGCAAAGAACATTATTCCCCAGGACTTCCCAGTCTCATTGCATGAAGCAGATGGTTGCCAGGTTTATTGTGACTTACAGTTTGTCAAGGTTCCGTCCATAGGCAGCTGCCTGTAAGGCAGGGTGGCATGGCAAAGGAGCATTGCAAGAGGGAACCAGCTCATGGCACGGCAGCAGAAAGGATGGGGGGAGGGGAGAGATTGAGAGATGAGAGATCAAAGGAGGAGGCAGCGGCTAATGTGATAAATCCCTCTTCCTACCCAGGCAACTCAGTCTGGGCTCTTGCCTATGGTGACCAGCTGTCCCCAAGGAGTGTCCCACATAAGCTGCAACAGCAAGCCCATTCTCTGGGAAATGTAAGCCAAAATGGTCATCATGCCAGTGTCACATTCCTAGGTTCAGGTGTGTGGGGGAATAAAGGGGCTTCTTCTCTAAGTCTGAAGAACAACCTCAGGTATTATGGTTCTGATCTAAAGTGCCCCCCACCAAATCTCAAGTGTGTAGATGATCATCAGATCAGGGCACCATATCCATTAGTGAACTCATCCCCGGATGAATTTTGTAGCTAAGAGTTCTTTCAGGAAGTGGTGCTAGGTTGGAAGTGGGTCACTGTGGCATGTCAGGGAAGGGTGGGTTCTCGTGCCTAACCCTTCCTGCATACTTTCTATGCTTCCTCGCTGCCATTGGCCAAACAGTTTTCCCCCACCATGTTATTCTACTGCACTATTTCTGCTTGGGAGGCAACCAACTATGGCATGAACCCATGAACCAAAATACACCTCCTCTCTTTAAATTCGGGGTGTCCAGTACTGTGTCCAGTGATGGGAAAGCAACCCACATACCAGGTAACCTCAGAAGTGGGAGAATCAGGGCACCTTGTTGCCATCCATTTCTGCACTGCATTCTCAGTGTATGGAAGTAACATTTCCCTTTGAAGACCAATTTTCCTTTCGAAACGTTCACGTAAAGTGCTCTCGCTGACAGCCAAGCTACAAATCCACTTCTGCTTTGGTCAAATGACCCAACCCAAATTATTAAAATGTGTCTATGGTCTCCAAACACTTTGATTTACTGTAGCTCAGTTTAATTTATGCCCCTCAAGTGGTGGAACTTTTCATGAGTGTGGACACCCCAATTCTGCTATTTTAAGGATGAATCTGTGCCCACGCATCCAGAGTGATGCTGTGGCAGGGGCCAGTTGATTGGGGCTGGGCTTTGCTTGTCAGACCCGGAAGTAGAAATAGAGACACTGACACCTGTGGAGACACATGCCCCAGTCTGGACTCCTTCACTTGGTTGTCTGCCTACTGCTTCCTGTGCACGGAGCCAAGTTCTAACCACAAGCAAGGACAGCGCCTGATGTTCCCCTTGGTCCTGACTTTTTTCCTGCCTTCAGCCGTGTTCTGCAAAGCAATAAATCGTGAACTAGGTCATTTTAGGACATTTTTATTGTGGCGTATTTTTTCTCTCTCCTGCCATCTTATTACATTATCTTGCCAAATGGCAGAGAAATATAAAACAGATGTTCCAAAGTGGAGAGCCCAAAGAGAGGATTTCCCTTCAGAGGCTACGGCAGAGAAGGTCTAAAGAGTCAACTGTACTCACAGGCATACACTTGGGAGCCCGGAATGTACCACGGAGTGTCAGGGTTCACAGACAGAGGCAGAGCTAAGTTTATCTCTGTGGAACAATGTAGAATGGGGAAAAAATGCTTTGACAGCTAAAAAGGAGGGGAAAGGAAATTAGAGGTCAAATGTTTCTCGCCAAATGTTTTTCAAAGCATTGTTTGAGATAATGTGCAAGTTTCTTTTTGGAACGGGGTCGGGGAGCGGAAAAGAGATGCAAAAGTGTGGTTTGGCGTAAGTACACTGCTGCCCGGCTCATGAACAATTTTGAAAATGAGTATTTTTAGGAATAACTTTGCTCAGCTGGATTTCAACTAAGGTTTGCGGTTTTTCTGTTTTGTTTTATGTTGTTATTGGTCCTGGGCATCAAACCCAGGGCCTTGAAGATGCTAGGCAAGTGCTCTGCCCCTGAACCACACCCCCAAACCCTCAGTTTTATATTTCACATATTTACCAATGTAACTTTCCACAAGAAGGAATACACAAAAATTCTCATCTTCTCATATGTGTGTAAGAAAAATGCGAATGGGCATATAATAACCGAGAAGCAGAAAGTAGGAATTTATAAAGTCCTACTTGGTTCACTAAATACAGTCAAGACAGAAATGTAAGATTCTTTACAATTACACTATATGTTAATTAGATATATGAATGGAAACAATTAGAAATGGGCTTCACAAGCTTCTAGCTTAAGAAAACAGACTTAGCACAATTTTGCATTGCTTCTGTCTTCAGTCTTTTTAAATTGATGATGAATGGGTGATGAAACTAACAAATCCATGCCAACAGAAATTTTATGGTGTGAACCTACTACCAGGTGTGCAGTTTCTACCAAATTCTACCATCAGAGTTTCTCAGCCCCAACAGTCCTGCCACAGAAGGCTGGGTGCTTCCGCCTGTGAAAGTGGAATTCCCATGGTACATGTCGCAGCACCCTGGTCTCCACTGACCAAGTGCAGGAGCACTTTCCTTTTGCCCCCAAGTGTACCAACCCCAAATCTCTCCAGACCTCCACAGAACACTATCCGCTTAGTTAAAAATCCCTGACCGAACCACAGAGAGCAAGTGGGGGAATGTTTCACAGCACAACTGAGCAGAGGACAGTGAAACTTGCAACATTTGTAGGGGACACCATAGTGCAGAAGACAGGCAGGCGAGATACATGTGTGAGCATCCGAGAGAACCCAGACACGATGCTACAGTGCAACAGCAGGGAACAGAGACTGGAGAACGAAGAGACAGAAGACAGCAGGGGTGAGCAAAGTCTCTAAATGGAACACCAGACTATACACATGCGTACACTCTGTCACAATCACATGTAAACACGTAGTCATAACACACATACATGCATACATGTGCATGCATATGTATATACATATATGCACTCTGGCTCATACATGCACACACAGTGTGTGCACATTCACATACCCAGGGACATGGACACATATTAGGTCCGTCACAGTCGCATGTGCACATAACACTCACACATGCATGTGTGCATATATATGTACACACATGCATACACTCTGCTTCATATATGCATACATATATGCATGATCACATGTGGGAACATGCACACAATTCACTGTCACAATCACATAGGTACACACTGCCACACATGTGTGCATGCATACACTCTGCCTCACACATGTATGTACATATTCACGTAGTCACACATGCAAACACACTCACTTTGTGAAGATGTGCACAACATTTCCATGGCAAACATGCACATAAGTGCATGCAGACATGTAGGTATTTACATGCACACACTGTCATAGTCACACATTACAACATTCCCAAACTACAAGTGCACCTATGTGCACATAACACATGAACATGTACATGTTTTCATATATACACAAAGGCAGATACTCTTTACACACACACACACACACACACACACACACACACACACACGTACAAACACATCCTGTGGCAGAAAAGCATGCAACCAGGGATTTATTCCGGAAGTAAAAGCAAGAGAATGTTCCTCTAAAAAATTTAAACCAACAACTTGGGAAGAATTCCATCGGCCAGGGTGAGTATGCAAATACTGGTGTTGAAACACCTGCCAACCCAAACTGAAGCCCTCACCAACAAGTCTGTCCCGTCTCAGAACCTCAACCTCCTTTGCATTGCATACCGGGGTAGACAGGAATCTGGACGCATCTGAGGAAAGCGTCAGCCATGAAAGGGAAAATCTAAGATAAACACAAAAATGGAGCATGGCAGAAGTGCAGATATGTAGGGGAAGCACTAAAAAGAAAACAAAAATCAAATTACCATTCTCAGACACATGGAAGCAGACATTCACTTAGAACCCAAATCCCAACTCTGCTAATGAGACAAAAATGATTGTTTTAAACATCAGGATCTAAGAGAACACTGAGAAATTAAAAACATGGAGCCCAAATGAGAAAGCTAAAGCAAATATGAAACTGATTAGTATGGAGAAAACAGGGCAGGATGTTTTCAAAGAAATATTGCAATAAAAGAACATTTCCCAGAACTGCAGGCGAGTGAGTGCCTTTCAATTAAACCAGCCCGCAGAGTGCTGAATAAAAGCAACCTCCACCCTCTCACATCTCTGAGAAGTTCTAGAAGTGATGACATAGCATGGCATGTTAAGAACAAGAAGTAATAGCCCCAAAGTTCTGATGAAAGACAACAACCCAGAATTCTGAGCAGTCCCGGTAGTAATGAAGCGTGAAAACAGACTAACAGCATTTTCAGACCAGCAAGAACATAGTATAAGTCCCAGGCATAATTCCATCCTTAAGAAGCAATTTGGTGTCACAAAATAGATCAATAACAACAAAAAAAATTAGGATCCAAAAAAATTCCCCACCTAGCTGTGAGGGCAAAGGAAGCCCCAGGCTGGCAGCTCTGACTTTTTGGATTGAAGACTAATTAGTGAGACGCAGGCAGGAGGATGGAAAGAGATCTTTGAGAACACAGAGGTGACCCCTAACACTAGATACAAGGGATCAGGGTCACAACAGCCTAATGACAGGTGACCAATGAGAGATTAAGAGAAAGAAAGAGTCATGGACTGGATCTTAGCCCACAGCTGCTCTACAAAGGGTTTGATCAGAGGGTCAGCATGAAACTTTCATTTGATGGAGCAACGGCATTTTTGCTGCTCTTCTGGTCTGGATTTTATAATTCCTGGGTTTAATTCTGCCCAGTGGAAGAGCTAAGGGATGAACAATGCAAGAGCTAAGGGATCAACAACAGTAGGAAAAAGAGACTGAACTTGGTATGGACGAGAGGGAGGAACCAGAGGGAAGCAAAGCTGATTTTGCTGATATGCTTCTTGGACCAAGTTATGCAACAAACCAGCTACATTTAGCAACCTCCACTGTCATGCTCCTGGCCACTGGCTGTACCCAGCACTTTGTGGTAAGGCTTCGTTATTCAAGGGACAGTGCCTCCTGGGAACTGCTGTAAATGCAGTTACTGGCCCTGCCCCAGAACTACTAAATCAGAAACTACATCTTGTCAAGACTAAGTTAGGGTCCACAAGTGGGAAGACTCAATATAACTGTGCTTCTTAAGCTACCATGTTTGTGGTCATTTGTTACCCTTTACAAGAAAACTAATGCAATACATGGAGCTCTATCTGTTTTAGAAAGATGAATGAATGCAAGGAGCAATGGAAACACCACGCAAAGTACAGCATCAACCCTCACAGAAAGAAGTCGGTAGAGAGCGTCTTATGTACCTACATCCAGGATGAGGGAACCTGTTCTTTCAGATAGGGAGCGATCAGCAAGTAGTAAAGCAGAAGACATAAGATGGACCTCTAAATAGGGAAGTGTGGCTTTGTAGGCTGTGTTGTCTCATCACAATCATTCCTCTGTGACATGTTGATCATGCCACAAGCTCTATAGCTGGCAGGTTGGATGGCTCCCAAAGGCCCAGGAGTTAAAGCCCTGGTCCCACGGTGCCACACTTGGGAAGTGGTAGAACCTTCAAGAGGCCGATCTTGGTGGAAGGAAGTTACATCACTGGGGGTGTGGCCTAAAAAGGGACTCTGACTCCAGCCCCTTCCCCTTCCTCTTTTTGCTCCTGGTCATCCTGAGGTGAGCGATCTTGCTCTGCCATGATCTCCCATCGATTTCATGCTGCCCCATCACAGGTAACTGAATCTTACTGGTGGGAGAACAGAAAGGCTTCCAGGTCCCACATGCCAATGGAAACAGGGATCTCTCAAATCAGCCTTTTCATGCAAATGATGAGCAGCTGGAAATGACATGGTCCATTGTATCAAGTGATGTAGTTCATTATTAGAACACATGCTCTTTTGCTAAAGGCAAAAGCTATAGTCATGTTAATTCCCAGATGTGTCTTAGGCAGCCATCAGAAAATATCTCTTACTGCCATTGTCAAGCCTTCTACAGACAG